GTTGTTTTCTTTTTTGTGTTTCAAATTTAGAGACCTGCAGTATTTTTTGAGCCAAGGTCCAGAAGGTTCTCACTATATCTACGTCAGGCTTTAGAAAAATTCCACCCTTACCTTTTCACAATTAGAAAGGTTATAAATAATGTATTTGGCTGCGAAGGAAGCTCAGCCTGTGGCAGATGGCATCATTCTAGAGTGCCGGGGTTTCTGCGAAGATGGCATTCTTTCAGATCGGAACTTCAGCAGACTCCCAGAAAGAACCGAAGCCCCTCCTAGGGCGTAGACATGTGCTTTATGGATCTTAGAAAAGCTTACAACTTGGCTCCCAGGACGAGAGTATCGTGTCACACTGAGGTTGTGAGACCCACGGCCAATTTCTGCTGACTTTCAAATCCTGTTTCCCAGCATAGGAAAGCCGTGGCCGATTCACTGGTTGGTGCTGTGTGTAGCATTTGAACTTGGGATCTAAACCGACTGAGTTTTGTCAGCCTGAGTCCTTTCTTCCCTGAACATTCATCTTTTACACACACTGGCCACCGGGTGGGAAAACTTGCGATGACAGTTGTGTCTTTCTCCAAGTGCCCTGGTGTGTCTTTCTCCGAGTGCTCTGGAGAGCTCGTATAAATAGACATGGGAGAGGACTGGTTCTGGAATGACATACCCAGCAAGCACGGTGACTTCTGAGACATCTGTGCCGTTGCATTTTGGAAAAACTCGGGCAGGAAAAACTCTTGCAAACGAATGAACAAAGATTTTTTAAACTACGAGTTTTATTGTAACTGCCAAAAGTGATGATTTTAAGAGTCTCATTTAACAATTAAGCTGCCATTACCTTTAAGTTTTAAGGACGAGAGAGAGGAGAGGGAGAAGGAGACAGAGACAGAGACAGAGATTGATTTTCTGGTAGTCTGCAGTAATGGCTTATTTCAGTGTCCTTTTGTTGATCAACTAATATGTTCCCAGCCCTGAATGCTATGAGTGCACACTATTTAGAGATGGGAACCAAGGCTCTAGTAGAAAATCCACAGCATGACAAGTGCTATCGTGGTACCATGTGTGGGATGTTTGGGAAGTCAGGAAAGGCAGAGCAGAGATACCTGAAATACATCCTCAGGGATGAACAGCTGTTAGCTAGAAATTGGAGAGGGCACTGGTCAATCATCCAAGTCAGAGAAGCGGTGCATGTCTTCCTGACGTCAGCTACCAGGTGCAGGCCAACTTTAGAAGTTACCACCAAATTTGAATATCGCAACAAATGGCAACACCGTTTTCCTTGGTGTTTTCCCTTGTTCCTACTTGACTTGTAACTCGATTTAATGAGTACAGTCTACATTCTTCATAAGAAAATGTATTTGACTTGAAATATATCATTTGAAATTTTACCTGGTGCCTTTGTTATTCACAGAGTAGTCTTTGGACTGATCTGAAATGTGAGCCTATAATAAGAGCCCAGTGAGGAGGTGGTGGCAGAGGGTTGTCGTAGTAATTAACACCTCTTAAGTCCAGACTTGGTATGTTCCAGGCACTGTGCTAATTGTATCCCATTCATTATTTTATTAATTGTCTGTCCAAGGGCAGATAAGTAATGACGTGAAGAGCCGTACTTCCTAGTCACTTGCCCTGTGCTTGGCACATAATAGGGGTTCAGTAGATACATAGTGAATGAATGAATGAAAAAAAAAATGCCGAAATGAATGGAGTCTCAGAACAACCCCATGGGGTGAGTGCCACTATCATTGCCATTTAGTATGGGGAATTGTTTTAGAGTAGTTAATTTGACTGGGGTCGCACTAGTAGTGTGCAGCACATCTTGGACTTGAATGCAGATTTAGCTGATTCTGTTTCATCAAAGAACATTTAGTGTGTGTTTAATACGTGCCAGGCATTTGGGCTGGAAAGTAATATGGAACCCAAATCTGCATGAACTCACAGCCTAGTGTAATATTTTTAAACCAGTGTCTCCTTTTGATTGACATGAACCCCAAGCCCCTCTCCTGAAAATCATGGCTATTGGTGTACCCTTTGTACATCCATCCCTACCAACTATGAAAATATTGTTAATCTTTACTTTCTGTCATTTGTATTTTCAAAACAGTAGGTGTTTCTTTATGACTTTCCAAATTGAAGATTACGATACTGGATATGATCTTTCAAATGCCATGGGCCCCATAAGATCCTGAATTCTCTCTTCCCTGCCCTTGAAACTCGCTAGTGTAGTCAGATGCCATGCCCGAGATTTCAATAAGGATTTTACTAGAAGAAGAAAAACAGCATCTTGCTGTGGCTACATGTGAAATTTACTGTATATTGTTCCAATAAAAAGTGAAGTGACCCTGAGTTACCTGAATTATGGAATATTTCCCAGCCCCAAAAAGCATAGAAAGATAGAGAATCTAAAAAGTTGTTTTGGCATACGTCACAACTTGTGGGTTAGCCTTTTGATTATGTCCTGCTTAGGCTAATATTTACATTAATCAGAGTTCCCTGAGCACACACCACTCCACAGAGCAGAACAGCGCCTAGAAAGTCACTTAAGGACAGAAGCTACCAATGTAGGGTTAAACAAGGGCAGGGGGAAGCGTTGATGATCGTGCACATATGGATATTATTTTTCACATATGGATAATAATGAACTGCATAGCACTATTACATATGGGCTCTAGTTGTGTAAAAATATTTCAGACTTTTTTCCCCACACACTATGTATCTTCTTTCTTTTTTTCTCCCATATACATATATTTCACGGTTGCTATACTGAACACATTAAATTGAAATGATCTGTTTACCTATCTGTCTTCCTAATAGATTGCAAGCTTCCTTTAGGCAGAGGCTCTGTCTTGTCTGCCCGAGTACCGGCCAGGCACATAGTAGGTGTACAGCAAAGAGCAAATTTCACATATAGAACTTTTGGCAAATTAAAGTAGATTGGATATTTGTCAAAAACCTTAAGAAAACTTAGATATTCCAAATATTTCGGAAAATTAAGACATAAAGCTACATCTAAAATTTATATGTGCTATTATAGTAACATTTAAGAAACTGCCAGAATGTCTAGGTATAAGAGTAATAATTTTTAAAAAATTGAACCAAAGTGGAAGAACATCAACTGCCATCCATTTTCAGAATCACCGTTATCCATCAGCAGTCTCAATAGTTTTATTAGTGTCTGACTTTATTGATCCATTATTACGATAGAGTAAGGGTGATTGAAGCTGACGGATTGTTAACCGGATCAGGTAATCTGGCTTTGGTTCTGGCACCCTTGCTAAGTATCTTTTTGTACTCTGGACTAAGGGAGGCTCTTAGTAAGATTGCAAGCTACTAGATTAATGGCAGGGCATCATGAGCCCATTAAGGATGTCTTTTTAGAGAAATAAAATGAGGAAAGGACTATAAAGTAGAAAGTGTCAAAAAAAAAGGATGTCACAATTCTTCTTAAGAAAGATCACTGTGCTTTACATAAATAATGCAATTCTAGCTTGTCCTCCTCACTGTAAGTTCTTCAAAGATCCCCAAGATTTGCATATTACAGGAATGTGTTCCTATTATAGAATTACCACTGCTAATGGATGTTAGGAGAGTCAATAATAACCAAAAGAGCTTTAAATTAGAAGTCGCTTAAAGGAGATAATTATATAAAAATACTTTTGTTCCCAAACTGGCTTTTCTGGTTGTGCACTGCTCCCACACAATGCTGCCCTCTGTAAACTCTGTCACCATAGACCAACTGAAGTCTGAAGTGGAAGTTCTCAGGTTTCTACACAGAGGAGTGGGGGCGAGGGGGGGTTGGTGCTGCAAAGTCTTAATTATTCCTGAGACACAATTGGAAATTAATTTAGCTGCTACTAGAGAATAGGGATGGTATGGTTAAAAATAACATGGATTAAGTCACTGAAATTACCATCACTAAAATTTGCTGGGAAGAAAACACTTTTCTTTGTTGAAAATGAGTTTAACTCTCCCCCCAAACTCCTAATACATCAAAATCATGATTTTCATCTTCATTTTTCTGTTAACACTGTTGGCTGTTTTCAGGATGAAGGCAAGTGACAGAATAGGTCATTTTATTTTTTGTGGTATCTTTGAGAAATTTAGTAAGCATGAAATGTATATATTTAAGTGTTTTATGGTTAGTTTGAAATTCAGAACTCAAGCTTTACTGTAGATGAAGCTAGCAATACAACTATAGGATTTTTTTTTTCTTCTGATAGAGGATCTCTGAGTAGTTTATTTTCTCCTTAAATGTGGTCAGTGTTAAGGCAGTTAATGCATCTCCAGTGGGAAACCAAATGATAGAAGTGGAAAGCAAAGCCGTGTATCCCAAACTTGAATGCACACCCAAAGACCCTGGGGATCTTGGTCATATGCAGTTGCCCATTGACTAGGTCTGGGGTGGGGCTGAAGATTATGCATTTTTAATAAGCTTCTAGGTGATGCTGATATTGCTCATCCCTGGGGCATACTTTGAGAAGCAAGGATGTAGAGTTACTAAAACTCAGAGTAGCTATGCAAAACCCATGGATACAGGGAAGGCCTGGGGAGGGAGTAGGAGCGGAGTGGAGGGGGTCAATGGGGAGATTCAGGGGGACATCTATAATGCTTTCAACAATAAAGACAAATTTAAAAAAAACACACCTCAAAGTAGCATTTATTTACAAACAGTCATAAAGTCATCTTCACAGAATTGGATTTATTGGAATCAGGATAAGTTTGTCAGCCTAGAACAGATGACATTGATGGAAGTTCCATACATATTAGAGCAAAGCCTGTGGGTTTGATAAGCTTTATACTGGTCTCAGTGGGTGGTTGTTTTCTATTTAAATAAGCATTTGATGATCTCCTTAATGAATTTTAAGAAGTTGAGGCTTTAGGTTAAGTGTGAAACAAAAATGTATTGGTACTCAGTTGATTTAAAAAAAAATACAGTTTGCACAATTGAAAACGTTTCTGTGTTCCATCTTGTGCCACTATGTGTTACAAATGTTTCCCCCCTCTTCACGCAGAGTATGATTTCTTCCATTGTGAACAGCACTTACTATGCAAATGTCTCGGCAGCAAAATGTCAAGAATTTGGAAGGTGGTACAAACATTTCAAGAAGACAAAAGATATGATGGGTAAGCAAAAACCGTTGCCTCGGTGGCTACATACCATTACGTGTCATTCGGGGGTTTATCAAAGTCACATCTCAAGCCAGGTCTTTTGATTGCCCAATTAGAGATCAATTTAGAATGTTTCTTTGAGGGTGGGGAGTGGGTATGAGTATAATGAGATAATTAAATTCAATAAATGTTTGTGTTTAAATCAGCCAAACTGACTTGGTTGTCAGACATGCAGGAACTCGAGGGGTGAGGAGGGAGCTGTCATTTTTTAACATCTCAGTGAAGACCCTGAAAGCTAATATTAGCAGTGATTTCTCTCAGAGATAAAACACGCTTTTATGCTTTTTGTTTTTGTTCAAGAGAAAGAACCTATTTTTTTTCACCCAATTTTTAAGGAAATTAATGGACTTCTAGTTTTCACAATCGAGATCAAGTGATTTTTATATTCCTAATCCCCTGCCCTGCCTATAGGTGCATAGGTGAACATACTGCTTTACCGTCCACACCAGAAAAATCATTGCATCATTCCTGAACTTTTAATTCCAGTAGAGCATCCTATCTTAACATAGAACTTTAGGTCAATATTTGTTACTAAGGAAATACATTAAAATTATCTTCAGTGTAAAATGACAGATAAAAAGCTGTGTGTTGTACCTAAGCATTTAGATTATGACATTTTCTCCCTATTGAGTTTGTTAGTATTTGCCAAGGCAAACACTGTGATTGATGTTAATGTTTTAATTTCTATTAATGTTTTCTTTCATATACTTGTACCCTCCAAATAATATATTTAAAATAATATAAGAATGGGATATTTCATGTGCATGGCGTTATGCCCTGTTTTACATCTATTTCTGTTTACTTCTATTACATTCATTTTATGATGACAACAACAGTAACTTTTCCTAAAGATTTTAAGAGACAAGAGAACCTGAATTTTGAGCATGTTTTAGCTTTTAATATTTGAAGCAAAACCATCCATCTACCCAAACAGATTCTTTGCCTTTTATAGCTTAGAGCTATAATGAAGACAATGCATCATTTTTGGAATAATTGCTTGAATTACTATTCCCTGTGAATGGCCCACTTGGGCTGATATCACTGGTAGAAATGGAAGGTTTCTTCCCCAATTCTTAGTTATATTCGGCATATATTTAGTGATTATAGAAATAGGATAAGTTCCTCTAACTGTATAAAACCTGAATATGTAATGAAGAGAGAAATGATGATTAAAGTCCAACCAGAGTCTGTACGTGGAGAGGAGGATGGTGTGCTATTTGGAAAGTCTCACCGGTGTCCATACAGCACCACGCTCGGCTTTTTCAGTCAGGAGCATCGCACCAGTCTCCTCCTCGCAGCAGCAAAGCATTTGACGCACTTTGAGCTCACTCTCAGCCAAGGGAGAAGCATCCATCTTGGGTAGGTGGCAATAAATTGCAAAACCATGACAGTATCACCCTTGCACCAGAACAACTCCCCGCCCCTTCCTTGAAAGATTGTCTTCAGCATCTGGTGATAGCCATAGCTTCTTCAAGACACATTTGGGTCTTCGCAACACTGGGTAGACTGGCTTGTAATACTATAAATCATTTGCCTCATTCCAAGAAATAGTTGCAGACGACGGTTAGACTTAAATAAAGCAAACTGTGTATGATACTCAGCCCCGTGTTCAATATGCACTCAGTTATTATTACTTGTCATGATGACCGCTTTCATTATTTATTATATTGATTACTTCTTTATATTCATGTCTGGGTAAGAATTGAACGTTGACAACATTTATGTTATCTATTTTTCTTTCAGACCTTTTGCCTAGAGTAATAACAATTTATATATATATATCTCATAAGAAAATACTTGTGTATTTCTTTTTTGTTTATTGCCTATGATGTCTTTTTCTTAGCTCAACTCATTCTTTCTAGATGCTATTAAGCAAATGTCATTCTTCTAGAAACAATCTTAAAGTAAACAATGCTTATCAGCCTTCTTGGGGTAATGAGAATGAGTAACAGTTTGACCCTAAAACTAGTGATGTAGAATATGAAAATAATTGATTTCATGCTTTAAGTCTAAACCACATTATAAAATAGATCAGAAGTATTGTCCCACTTTTAAAGTTTGTGGAATTGTGCAGAGGAGGAAAGTACAAACACAGCAGGTTGAATTCTATCTTGAAATGCTCTTATTTTAATTGGATCTTTAAAGTGCCCCGTGCCTACTGTCTCTGTTTAGGACGTGATCGGAAATGCTTACCAATGCCCATCCTTGTTGACGGAGCATGATTTTACCTTTTATCTGTTTCAGTCGAAATGGATAGTCTTTCTGAACTCTCCCAGCAAGGTGCCAACCATGTCAACTTCGGCCAGCAGCCGGTCCCAGGGAACACGGCCGAGCAGCCTCCATCCCCTGCGCAGCTCTCCCACGGCGGCCAGCCTTCTGTCCGGACCCCTCTTCCGAATCTGCATCCTGGGCTTGTGTCAACGCCCATCAGTCCTCAATTGGTCAACCAGCAGCTGGTGATGGCTCAGCTGCTGAACCAGCAGTATGCAGTGAATAGACTTTTAGCCCAGCAGTCCTTAAACCAACAATACTTGAACCACCCTCCCCCTGTCAGTAGATCTATGAATAAGCCTTTGGAGCAACAGGTTTCAACCAACACAGAGGTGTCTTCCGAAATCTACCAGTGGGTACGCGATGAACTGAAACGAGCAGGAATCTCCCAGGCAGTATTTGCACGTGTGGCTTTTAACAGAACTCAGGTCAGTTTTGTTTTATTTATTAATGATTTTTGTATCTTTTTCTCTCTCTCTTCAGTCCCATCTACACCTAATGTTTACTCTTTTACTTTGTGCTAACATTTTATCCTCTTCATGTAGTCGTATTGTCTGTTGCTGGTGGTGCCTAAATATAATCATTCTTTTCCCTCTCTTGAACCTCCTCTGCCAAGAGGAAGCTATGCACAGCATGATCTGGATTCAGGGGCCTTGAAAGAATAAATGAAATATGAAATATGTTTCACACTGATTACCTGAGCTCTTACATAATGGAGTTATAGACAGCAGTAGCAGGTTGAGAAAAGTTTCATGACTTGGCTAAGGCCACTGGTAGGACTCCAGGCTTCTAGCCTAGGATCTTTAGTATATTACCACCCATACCAGACACGAGTATATAAATGGGCTCTATTGAAATTCCTTTACAACTTAAAAAAAAAAAACATCTTGGGACTCAATCACAATTTTTGCCATTTAATTCTAAGAAGCCATTTAGAAAAAAAATATATATGATTTATTAGCAGAAGGTGTTTCCTTCCCCTCTTCACATGATTGTTAATGTTCCTCCCAAGTTCACTAAGAGGCCTCTGGGGTAGTTTTGAGCTGCAGGCCTCAGTCTGCCTGTCCCCCTCATGTCCACACCTTTCTCCTCCTGGGAAATTCCTCTGAAGATGTTATCATCCTGGAAGAAGTTTCAGAAGGACAGGGAGAAAGGGTGATATAAGAGAAAGAAGTCCTAAGATAAAAAAAATCCTAAACAAATTGATTCTACTAAACTGTGAGAGTATTTTTAATTCCTTTTATTGGAAACTAGTATATATGGTGTTTATTTTTGGCCCACGTGCACGCACACACACACACACACAAACACAAACCCTCACAAGAACATGTAACTTTGATTAGAATGAGGACATTATGTCCTTTCAGCGTTCTTGTTTTACCACTGTTCTTTCTTTTGTCAACTTTTTTGGGGACCTGACTCATACTTTCCTCTCATATATAAGTTATTTTGTTTATTACATGATTATAAGAATAAAATTCTGGTACAAAAATAATCTAGTATTAATTCCTTGTTGGCAGAGTGTCTATACCTAGGAGGATCCCAGCTGTGGCTTATTTTTGGCTTGCCTTAAGTTAGGAGGCCTGAGAAAGCCTTTAACTCGGTTTATTTTCGGTTTCTTTATCTGTTGTTGTTTTTTTTTTGTACATCATTTGTCTGTTTTTAAAAGGGTGATTGCAGAAGGTTATGTCTCAGTTTAAAATTGTATGGTTTTGCCTAGTTGGATATTTTAACAACTTGAAACGTGTTTATCATTAGCTTGTAAATTTAATACGGCACCTATGTTCAGTTGGGGGGTGATTATTTAAAAAAAAAATGAAATGAATGAGTGAATGAATCAGAAGTCAGCCATCTAGCTAGATACTCCTGCTTCTGGCAGCATTTTTGTTTTGTTTTGTTTTTGTAAATAGCAGTGACTGCTAGAAGTTGTCAGTACTGGGCAAAAAATAGATAGGGTTGTTGAATTGAATTAAAAGCCCACAGACAAAGAGAACATTGACGTAGACACAAATGACATGCAGATTTACAGATAAGCATTTTAAAAACGGAGCAAATTGTTATTTCTTAAAGCACCGAGGAAAGAGCATTTTACGTGGGGAAGAATGACAAGAGAGTCCAGCTGAGGGAGATGAGGGTGAAGTCACCGCCTCTTGGTATAGTTCAGTGGTTCTCAACCTTGGCTGCACATTAGAATCACCTGGGAATCTTTTTAAAATCCTGATTTCTGGGCCTCATCCTCCGGAAATTCTGTTTCTTTGTTACTAATGCTGTGGCCTCATCCCATAACAAAGAAACAGAATTTCCGGAGGATGAGGCCCAGAAGTCAGGATTTTTAAAAGATTCCCAGGTGATTCTAATGTGCAGCCAAGGTTGAGAACCACTGGTATAGTTTTTCTTCTCTTGGGTTATGATGCCCCTGCTACATTTGTTCTGCCTTTGGTTCTAACATCAACAATGTCCACAAATATCTGTAGAATTCGTTACTGTAAGGAAGGTAGAATTCTCTTTTTATGCCATATTAATCTCTTTGAAAAGATAAACAGTGACTTTATTTTTCTGAGAGTGAGAGAATGAAAACCTGGTACAGCCAGTGTCTCTTTATTAATAATAGCCAATTTAGAAGAAGTCATTACCAAAATACTATTTGGAGCTCAGGTTGGCAGAGAGGTTTGGTTTTATACCTTTGCATCGGTAATTGGTACTCCTCTGTCAAAGTGGATGTTGGGCCCTATTTGAAGCTGTCTGATGTAACTGAGAGTAATTTTCTATGTACAGTGAAGTGTTCACTTTTTGGGAACTAGCTTTTGAACACGCAAGCAAGCATGCATGTATTTTTGGTGTCATACTTAAAAACCATCACACACATGCATGCCACGCACACACACAGCTGCATTTATTTTAATGATTATACATTCATATGAATGCATGTAGTGTGTTTATTTCAAAGTGTATGCGTTTCAATAAAAGCAGGTGCAGAGTGAGGGTGTATGGTGTGAGTGTGGAGTACGAAAATACGCATGCTAATGCATATGTATAGGCGGAGGAGCTCTGCAGAGTTAAATCACACATCACACATTGTGTGCACTTACTGCAGTGTGCACTTATTCCAACCCCAAGTTTAAAAAATTAATGTAAAATATGTACGTACAAATGCAGTTATATGACATGATCAGATAAAGACATTGGTACCCTGTACACAGTGTGTTAAAACATTAGTATAATAGATAATGCTGTTAAGACTCGAGAAAATTTTAGTCATTGACAGCTCTGTATAACTTTAAAATCCTGAATTTCATGTTTTAGCTCTTAATTGGAGAATTTTCTCATCATCTTAATTGGGTCTCCTAAATGAAATCATACCCCTCTCTCTCTCAAGACTTTCCCACATGACTATTTTTTTAAGTCTACCTTTTCTGAAAATTTATGGAGAATTTATATAATTACTTGTTTTAAGTACTTTTTCCCCTTTTGAATTAATGGGCATATGTTCTTTAATTGCTACGGAAGACACCAGCTTTTAGCATATGTCATTCATTCAGTTATTCTTACTTGATGTCTTTTTAATGGAAACCTATGGCTAAAAATAATTGCCAGAGCTTCTAGATTTATAATTTCCAGTTCACTTCTCTGTGTTATTGCCCTTTAAAGGTGGCAATAGAAGAAAATATATCCTTTAGTGCCTTTTTAGAAATAAAACCCAGAGTTTAACTCTGATCCCACCCTGTGGCTTTTTTTTCCTTTTTTCTCCCCCCTCCTCTTATCTTTGGCACACTTTATTTTCCAGTAAAATAAAGAATGAAGATGGATTATTCAAAACTGATAACAGTAATGGACCATCATGTAATGTTTTATTGAATTTGAGTTCTGTAAATTATGTGGTGGAGAGAAATTTGCCTGCTTTTAAGTATAAGAGAGATTGCTGCTGTGTTTCTATAATTCTTCACAGTGTAATTTAAGAAAAGTCCACTATCCATATCACTATTGAATAAAAGGTAAGAAGGTGCTATTACCCTAGCGTGACAGCTCTCCTGTAGCCTCCCCAAATGACAGAGATAAATGTGTCTGCTTATAACTTACTTGGCGTAAGTCCAGAGTAGGAGGTGGAGTTTGAAAATGGTCTTTCACCTGGACATGTGTTTAAAAATTCACCAAACCACAGAGGCAGGTAGGTAGCCTTGAAGAATATTCTACATATTTTCTTTTTAGTAAGGAGGTTTTATCAAATCATATTTTCCTTCTGAGGCTTTGAAGTTCCATGAAACTGATAAAATCTATTTGAATCAGTGATTATGTTCAAAGAGGAGACAAACGAGAGGCCAGACCGGCTTTTTGTTCAGATTGGCAGTCTCTTTCGCTTATCTGCTGTTTTAAAGAATTCATAATTAGCATTTGGAAGTACTGATAATATTTATTGAAGGTTTTTTCTTTTACAATTACTAATGAATTTTACTTGTAATAACTTGTAAACTCTTTTTGGAATGTAAAAAAGGCTTAGAAATTCATCAGTAAGTTTGCTCTTTAATTGAAAAAAAATTAAAATTCTCATTTAACCACCATGTAATGACAATGCAGAACCATTTTATGTTTTCATATATAGAGAACATATGAGTTATTTGAAGATGTGGAAGTCCCAATGAAAAGCAGCTTGTCATTTCCAATAAAATTAATATTCATGAGGTGCTGGTAACTTACGGCATAACATACAAATTCTCAAGTTCTTTTCAGAAACAAGGATGGCTAATGATTTTGTTTAGTTTTCTTCAACAAATTTATTGAGCACCTATGGTGCACAGTATTGAAGAGATATTTTCGTCCTGCTGTTTCAGCATATTCGCTGAGATAGCGAATAAGGTACAGGACATTATTTTTTAGCATGAAGAAGAATTTTTGGTAACAGATCCCTCTTACTGTCCCCCATGAGGAATTACCACAAGTGACATTGACCTAACTTGGCAAGTCTGCACTGTATTTTCGACTATGGGCAAATGGAAACAGGCCACATACATCTTGAATCCATAAATGCAACTAACTATTCAAGTAACAACAACCTGAACAGGACCAAACATTCATTCCCATATCCGGATTCTTATAGCAGTCATTTTGCATCCAGAATTATTCTCAAGTGGCATGATTATTTATTTATTTATTTTTGGTAATTAACACATTCTAATCAAAACATTTCCTAACAATATTTTCAAGCATTTCCACCAGGGGGCACTCCCCTCATTGAAAGCTTGGGCCAAAAAAAAAAGGAAAGAAAAAAAAAAAGAAAAGAAAGAAAGAAAGAAAAGAGAAAGAAAACCCCAAAGGTTTCTAAAACACCCGAGATGTCTACACTGGCTGCTTTAGAGCACTGTGTGTTCCAGGGTTTGAAATAATCGCTTTAGACCTTCAACATATTACAAGCAGAAAAACTACACTTGCTCTAGCCAAATAATTAAATGGAAATAAAATGTTTTGCCCCTGAAACACTTTACTTGCTCAAATGGGAAGTCATGCCAGCATCAAAATATGGGTAGAGAAATGTCTAAATCCTCTCCCAAGTGACCTGCTGCCTTCTACGTAAGCCATACAGGAATGCCTTGGTGTTATGTTAGCAAGACTTGATAGAGAGCATTATTAGGTATTTTTTCAGGTGTTTGCTTTTCTCACCATAGTTCTCTGCTGTCAGGGGAAACATTTTTTTAATAGAGATGATATTTTATTTGAGATTTATAAATGTCTAATTTCAAATTCCCCAGTCCTCAATATTTATAGGATCCCTTTTAACCTAATCTATTTTTTTTTAAATTACTGAACATTTAGTGTAGGTAAACATCTTACAAAGTGCCACAGTAAACTTTTGATTGAAGGCTCACCTTGAGTAAATTAATAATTACCATTAGAATTTACCCGTGGGTAGCATATCTTGTTTCTAAGTTTCAGTCACCCATTTGCAACGTTGTTCCTTTTGTGGTCTGAATACACATAATTTATCCACTTAGTAAATATATATCAAACACTTATAGAGTAGGCATTGTGCTGGGATAACAAAAATGAATATTAGAATATTCAAGGAATTACAACATTTTATTTATTATGCTGTATTTTTCTATCTCTCTCTTTCTGTATAGTTGATGTATATTACTTTGCCAAGCACATCTTGTAAAACATAACATTTGGTAGGGAAGAGTGGAGAACCTGGATTATTTTTTTTACACCTATTTTCAAACCTTCTTAAGGCCTGTATTTTTCGGTTTTAATGTGACACATCAACACAGTCAATCTAATTAGTTGGCCTTGTGCAAATTAAATAGCTGGATGATTGACTGCCTGTTTGACTGAATTTTAGTTAAACTGACTGGATGTTTTACTCTTGTGTAAACTCGGTTGCAGCATTACTTGTCAGTATTAGCAATGAAAGGACGCATTCCCTTCATTCTTCCCTTACGTGTCTCATGGTGAAACTTAAAGTTTGGGTCCAGGTTTCTGACTTCTGTTGCAAAGACCAAGGGAGAGATTAAAATTTACTCTTTAGCCCCCTGAGCCTATTGGAGGTTCTTTTTTCACAGCAGCCCATAAATCATTTTAATAGTGGACAGTGCTTTTATACTGTCTGCATCTATTTGAGAATTTTGGGCATTATCCCCGAAGAACCAAAAACTGGGTTTGCACTTCTAGGAAACCATGAAAAAACGCAAATGTTATAATCTTGGGGCTTAATTATTTTGACATGACACTTTATCTCCCCTTTCCCAAATGTATCCTTTCACCCTTTCCGCAGAGTTGCTGGAAAGTGAAATTTGCAAACTATACTGAGATCTGGACATTTTATTCTGAGCTGTATTGTGTTAAACTGATATTCTGGCTAAATGTAGAAACGAGGCATTATTTCATGCAGGAGATTGAAGTGGTAAGAGCTGCTCAGCCCCTATCAAATGGACAGAAAAATTTTCTAATCCTTCAATTTCATATAATCCCTTAAACAAAATTGGGGAAAACCACCCATTTTTGAAAGCATTCTTCCAAAAATTAATAAAATGGGGGGGGCTCTATTACTTGGGGAAAGAGACACTTTAAAGGACTTTACTAATGGTTTGTAAATTCCTTCTATTAGAAAGACATATATTTTTATTCCTCAAGAAATTTAATAGTTACAGAATTGGATAATACTCTTTTCCGTGGCATGCTATAATGGATTTTTGAAATGTGGAGAGGGGTGTATGTATTTCAAATTTAATCTATGGTTTCTGAAGTTCAGAATTTCAACCTGTTACCAAGAGATATAGCATAGCAAGATAGTATTTAGAGTCATTGGGGCTGTCAAATGTAGTTTCCTTAAATGATAAATACAAAGAATCATTTGTCATTGACTCTAATAATTTTCAAATAAAGGACTAACTTAAAATATTGTCTGTGAAAACATAGCCTTAATCTTAGACGATGCTTTTGTAAATTTTTTATTATTATTATTTAATCCTCACCAGAAGACATGCTTAGAGAGAGGAAGGGAGAGAGAGAAAGAGAAAAACATCGATGTGATAGATAAACATAGATCATTTGCCTTCTGTAGGTGCCCCGACTGGGGATTAAACCCACAACCCAGGTACGTGCCCTGAAGATGCTCAACCAATTGAGCCACTGTGGCTGGGCCATAACATTCTTTTTTCTAATAAGTTGTAGTTCATTTTCTATGAAAGTTCAATTTCTCCTGAAATAGCTTTGTATCTTTACATATTAGGCTGTTGGCATTCCACTGTCTTTGTCTAGGCAGCTTGAGAACTCTACCGTTCAATGCCGTTGTATTATGAGCATTTCATTTATTCTTAATTTCCCTGGATCGTCTCTCTCTGAAAGATTTCATGGCAAGTTAAGCTACTCAAAGGAAGGAGACCAATTAGGCAGTTTCGGTTTATGGTATATGTAAAGCAGATGCTTAATAAAATTAAGAATACAATTGAGGCTCTCTTCTCTACCACATCAGTTGTAACTAATATATTCCTACGTAGAATTAATGCTTCTGACTGTTCCTTTTCTAAACAGAGTGGAAAAGAAAAGGGAAGGATCGCCACTGGCTGGGCAGAGCCGGGAGCAGGCTCACTCACTCTGTGCCTTTCATTCCCTGCAGGGCTTGCTTTCAGAAATTCTCCGAAAGGAAGAGGACCCCAAGACTGCATCCCAGTCTTTGCTGGTAAATCTTCGGGCTATGCAGAATTTCTTGCAGTTACCAGAAGCTGAAAGAGATCGAATTTACCAGGATGAAAGGGAAAGGAGCTTGAATGCAGCCTCGGCCATGGGTCCTGCCCCCCTGATAAGCACACCGCCCAGCCGCCCTCCCCAGGTGAAGTCTACTTTTTCTCCTTAAGCCTTTTCCTTTGGCTTTTGTTTTTTTAAATGCCTGATGAAGAATCTCAACAAGGAATTAGAAGGATAGGTAGACAGATTTAAACACACACACACACACACACACACACAAATGTATGGAGTGGCTTGGGGGAAATTTTGTCCCCAAGCACTAATAATGGTATAAAAACAATAAGCTACTAATTAGGGGAAAGAAACTTGCTTTGTATTGCTGCTGCTTTGGGGTTCTTTGGGGGATGAAAAGTAGTCTGTAAATGGGATATTTATCTCTATGACTATTATGTAAAGAAGTATTTTAAACTTAATGGGGGAGGGTAATACAGTCCGTTTTATTCCCTGCAAGTTTTAGAACTGCCATTTGAATAGTAAATAAATATAAATAAATAAATAATTCTATTTGTATTTGTGCTTTTCCAATACGAACTGCAGCTGGTGCCAATTACACATCATCTCGTTTGTAATCTTTCATAATTAAGTTTAATACAATCCTGGAAGGCAGCTTGAAATGGAGCTGATAAGGAATTCCATCCATATTCCCAGAAATGGGCACATTTTCTGTTTTCCAAAATTTTACACTTTTTTAGGAAAGACCAAAGTCACCTTCCAGGTAACTTTGTGTATGTGCATCTATATTGTTTGTTTGTTTTTTAATCGAGTTTAAACGGTAGCCTCATAACTATTAGCATTCAAGTTAATTTTCAATACCAACTATTAGATACAAGTTTAATAGTGGATTAGACTTGTAATCCACAAGCAAATATATTTCTTTCACATATAATTTATGGCATGTACAGTTCTTAAAAATAAGATCAATAAAACTGGATAAAATTGAATATAGAATAGAAATTTAAAGTATTTATATAACCTCATGTTATAATGAAATTATATCTTGATGTTCATTTCTTTTCATTAATAGTAAGAAATAATAATACATTTCCAAGTGTAGAATTATAGAAAAAGCTCATTTAACACTAAATATGAAACTGCTACAGATACTCCATAAATAGGGAATAGCTATTATATTTAGCAACCTGTTGAGGATCTTAAACTGTATGTTGTAATGTTTGAAATGATTATTTTTTAGAAATGTCGCAAAGGTCCATTTTCTCCGCTTCATTTAATGAAAATTAATTAGGTCTTGATGTCTATAGGAGCAGACTGTAAGGGAGTCATTACTGTCATTGTGAACAAGAAAGCCATGCTTCTCTAGCAGAATAGAAAGGATAATAGAGCTCACCTGCATACACACACACACACAGCTATTGAATTTGGTCTGTAAAGACTTCTGTAAAATATTTCTTAAGAAATAATATACCTCTGGATTTTTCTTAAGAAAAAGAATGAGGAACTCTTTATGTAGATACATAACTTTTAGTATAAGAGTGACTAAACAAAAAATACTATACTTAGACCCGATCTAATACTTAGTGTGTGGTGTTTAGAGTTAATACACACATGATTATTAGTTAACTTTGTTCCTGTGATCATCACAGAAAGGCCCCCTGCTCAGAGAGCTGTCTTACTTATCACTGAATCTGCAAGACCAACAAAAGAATGACTTACTTGAGACGAGTATGAACTTTAAAAATGTATCCAAATATTTAACTTAGTGATTCTTAATACAGCTTTTGTTTTTAATATTTCTGGGGTTTTAATGCTTATGTTTTTCAAATGGGATTCTGCTGTCCTTAGTCATCAAGTTTTTTTCTTTAGGCAAAGTTACATTAATTGTTAAGGGTTCTTTCCATATACTATTAAGATACTCTTCAGTAGCTTTCTGATATATATGTCTAAAGACTGTATCTGCTGATAAGTTGGGATAGGAAATATAATTTACTTGGCTTGAATTATTGATTAACTGATTGAGCCACCCTTAGCTGCATTTGTTCTCAAGAAGGATTGAGACCAAGCCCTTATCCAGGTTGTTCAGACAATGTTGAACATATAAAGTATGTAGATACTGTGGATTCTTAGTGAAACTCTTTCAGAGGAGAAAAAACATTGTTTCTATTAATCAAATTCTGAAATGATTATCTGATATATATGTATGATTTTATTTCACTGCTATAATATAAATCTTTATGGTATCTTACGTATTTGCCCCACTGAGAATCCCTTTGCATTATTTAATCCTATATAATAAAGAGCTAATATGCTAATTAGACTGAACAGCAGGATGACTGTCCGAACGACTTCCGGACAAAGCCAGGGCTGCGAGGGCTGAGGCCCTTGCACGAATTTCGTGCATCCGGCCTCTAGTATTATTATAATAGAGCTCACAATCATTTTGTTCACCTTTTATTCTGTAATAATGATTCAATGAATTAAATTTTAAGAAATTTTTAATGGATTAAAAGCATTACCAATGTCAAACAAGTACTTTAGATCTGGAAAAATGTGTTCTAGAACAGTTGAATTAGTACTTTGTTGCAGCAGTTGAAACCTAGTGCCTACACTGGAACCAGACAGCAAAATTTTGTCTTTTTTATATTTTGCCAAGGAGGAGTCTATGTGAAATCACTGTGCATTTCATTTCCCCAAAAATGAGGAGATTTGAAATGTACAGAGAGACAAGTTGTGGGTTTGGGTTAAAACGCAACTCTGATTTCTTTCCAAAGAACTGCATGCTGTAGACACAGGTCCCCTTGTGACTCACAGAAGACCCCGCCCACTTTCAGGCCTGAGAAATTGGGTTCTTTTCCAGGTCCCTCAGTAGACTTTAGGTCATACTGAAGATGATTTGGATGTTTCTGGTTCAAACCAGATCGAGGACCTAAACTATTGAGGAACTCAACAGATTCTAAATCATCTTCAAGAAGGGACTTCATTGGTTTGAGTCAAACTCTAGGTTTTATTCTTAAGAATACCGTCCCTGGATAAACCCAGACTAGCCTCAGGAATCACCGAGGCTCTTGGCTGGCCCTGCCTAGGTGAGGTGCATCTTGTGCACACCTGTCCCTTGTGCTGCAGTAGGGGCAGCCATGCTGTGAGCTGCTTGTCACTGGGGTAGTAGGCTCTGGCCCAGACCTGTTTAATGATAGTATATTTTCACAGCGTTACCTGCTAATTCAAGAAACAGGATTACCTTGCACTTGATAATGGTTCACAGTTTTCTCAGCACCTTGATGTATATTAATTCACTGAATCTTCAGGCCAACTTTTCCGTGGGAGAAAAATGACAAAACCAAGTCTGAGGTTTAGTCATAGTTTTCCAATCCTCTGTGAATTCTGTTGCTCCTCCCCCTACCTCAAGCTCCACCTGCTCAAAAATATAAATGAACATGATAGAAAAGGGAAAGAGAAACTTGGGGACTTTTTCTGTTTGTCATGGATAGGAAGTTTTATTGTTAGATTAGGAAGATGTACAAGAATGTGATCTGAATAGATGATCCCTGGGTATTTCTGAGATTGTGGAGGTCATTGCCCCCCCCCTTAATGTTTTGTTGTTGTTGTTGATAGTATTACAGATGTCTCCCATTTTATCTTTTCTCTCCCCATCTGCCCAGTCCCTATTTCTCCCCCCTGACCCCCCAGTTCTTCCATCACCCTATTGTCTGTGTCCATGGGCTGTGCATATACATATATAAGTTCTTTGGTTTCTCTCTCCTGGTACCCCCACCCCCACAAAGGATATTGCCCCCTTAATTTTGGTTGTATGAAAATATCTGAAAGAACCAAACTCCTCCAAAACTGCCTGGTCTTAAAGGCTTCTTTTTCTGAATCTACTTGGCAGATTGAGTTTAAACCAGATGAGTTTATTAGAGGGATTTTATTAATAATAATTAAAGATTATTTTGTGGGAATTGTTCCACAGAACAGGTCAGTTTTAAGTTGATTTCTCTTTAGGTGTGTGCTTACTCTAGTTTTATTTGTATGTTTTAATATGTGTGACTTTTGGAGGTAAATTAGCAATTCCTGTTTTCATAGTCTATACTTACCAAATTATAACTTTTTATATTAGTTATATAATTTTCTCCCTTTTTTCCCATAGCTCCTTAGTAATTCTTTAGTTTCTTCTAAAGGACGATGTGATATTTTATGCTTTAGAAAATGTATGAAGTTCATAAAGGAATTTATCATTAATTTAACCTTGTTAGCTGCACCCTCTGTCTCTTTCTAACAACTTCTTCTATAATATAATGAAACAGAGGTCCAGTTATGGGCAGGAGCTTAATACATGATTAAAATTTTATTTGTTATAAATTCCTTGACCAGCATTATTTTCAGATCTTATTTATGTGCTTGTAAAATGTTTCCCATTAACGGTCATCTTTGAAAAGTTAGAGGACTTGGAAAATAATATTGTTTCTATAACCATAACCCTCCAGATGGTGTTAATATGGACTATATTTCATCACCAATAAGAATGCCTTAAATAGTACATTTCTTACATAATGTTACCAAAAAAATTATGGTTTATATGCCTTGAAAAATAAATTCAGATTGGATTTGTAAAATTAATGATAAAGTCATTTACTACTAAAAATTAGATATTAATGAATTTGATTTAGCAAAGGGCCACCAAAAAACAGGTCTAGCATGCCTTCAAAAATAAGAATTTTTCCAAATAAAGAAGTTGCATGGTTTCTAAGATAAGCATTGGCATCAGACAGACTGCAGTTTAGCTCTCAGCCTTGCCTGTGGACAAATGACTTAAATGTCTTTGTTTCAAGAGCATTTCCTCAAATTTTAAATGGGGCAGTAATAGTAACTACTCAGGGTATTGTGCAGGTTAGAGTTAGTGTGTGTTAACACTCTACACAGCACTTAAGCAACTAGTAAATGTTAGTGTTTATTTTCATAATTATTAGTAAAACGACATCAAACACACATGTGCTATGAGCTTGTGCTCCTGCCTCAAGGAATAGTGCATATTCACCCATGAAGACCACAGTGGAGTTCATTTAGTGCACTGTGCATGTAATCTGTAGTACATATGTAGTGTGTATAATTCTTTTGTAGTATGGCTTGATGCATTCAGCAATACATGAAGAAACAAAAATAGGATTTAATGGCATGATTTTAGTGAAATAAAAGATCTAAATCATCTTAGGGCTGTGCCCTATCCCCACATGGGTAGGTACATGGTAGAAGCTTCAATTCTTAACTACTTCTCGGCGCCGCCGTAATGATGGAGTAGTACACCCTACCTTGATAAAAGCTATTCGGAAAGCAACTGCATTTATTTTACCTCCTGTGCTATTTGCAGAGAAGAGCTGAAGAGTAGTTTGTTTTGCCTGGAATGAACTACTTTATGAATTTTAATGTGTGATATAATATTAAAAGCTAAACCAGGATTAAAGAAGATTTTTTTTGTACTAAGCTAAAATAGTACTTAGTAGAGTGAGGTATAAAAGATTTTTGTTTCCATTTTTACCTGGGGAAAAATTCAGCCCTCATATTTTTGAAAAGCCGTCCAAGTCATTTCGCCTAAAGCAATAGCCTGTGTTTAGGAAAAAATGTGATTCCAGAATTGTAATAGCTTATTTATGATAAGATGCAGATCTAAGCCAACAAGATGATAAAGAACTTTCCTAAATCTTTTTAAAATGAGTAATGTGATTTCTTTATATTTTTAAAAGTTGTTGCTCTCACTTTTTTTAAAAATTTTTAAATGTTTCATGTGCACTTATTTCCCACTTTTATTTTGTGTTGGCTACCAGGAAACGATGATGTGATTCCCCTCCCCCCCCTCCATGATTTAAAAATCTTGCTTTTTTGATTCAAATTGTAATTGCTTTAAAAAATATTAAACCAAAGAAATTTTTAGAGACAAAATCACAGTGTTGAGACAAATGATGATAGGCTACCTGCCGGATAAATTCTTAAACAGCATTTTTACAAAAGAATGCAAATTATTTTTAAAAACATGAAACACGGAGTTTCCAAAGACTGCTCTCTCTCAGCTATTGCTAAGAAGATTGCTACCAGGGAACTACTTCTTCCAATGCACTGGACTTCGTGCCCCCATTTCTATAACATTCAATTTTCAAAGCGATTGAAATGGCTTTTCTTTTCTCTTTCATTTAAGCAGTGAGAAAAATAGGTATTAAAAGGGACCCCATAGGGTGATCAACTCTATTCTTTTGCCTCAAAGCAAGACCACCCCAGAGCAAAGTTGTGAATCTCACCAAAGCAACTTTGTAGGCAATTTATGGTAATGCGTTAACTCTTCTGGCTCCTAAAGTGGTGTTTAGCAGATTATTGCTTCAAAGCCCGGTGTATGTGCTTGGTGGCCTCCAGTCCTTCATATACCTCTGTGAGTGCCCTTGCTTACTGGAGTCACAGAGCCGCAAGGGGGACTCTGGAAATCTGGCTTCCAGCCCTGTCTCCAGTTTACAGTGCAGGAGAGGCCAATGAGGCCCAGCCCGTTGGACACCTGTCCTGCCTGCCTCACCTTCTGTATCCTCACTTCGGGCCTGTGGTCCAACCAGTTCACAGCATGGTCCTTTCAGTGCTTAGGTAGTGTCAGAGTGGAAGAGTCTAGCTGTCTCTCTATGACAAGCCAGAGTGAGTTATTTTGCTAACTGGCTAGAAGTTCAAAGGATTCAGAAGGCACCTTTAAAAGGGGCTCATATTGCCCTGGCTTGTTTTGCCTGTGGACTGAAGGGTCCCGGGTTCGATTCTGGTCAAGGGCACGTGCTCCGGTTGCAGGCTCGAGCCCCAGTAGGGGGTGTGCAGAAGGCAGCTGGTCAATGATTCTCTCTCATCATTGATGTTTCTATCTCTGTCTCCCTCTCCCTTTATGAAATCAATAAAAAATATTTTTTAAAAAATAAAAGGGGCTCATATTTACTCACTAAGAGCAGAGAATTGAATAGCCTAGGATAACCTTTGTCCAACTTTTGATGCCAAATATTTTGGGACAGTGTGAAATAAACCTGGAAGACTTGCAGCCAAAAAATTCCTTCGTTTATTCTAAAATGCATTTCATTTCCTAGTGTTTATAGTATATGTGAGAAATGATCCAAGATGCTAAATTTCTAGAGAACAAAAACCTGGGTTCTGTAAAGGACCCAAAGAAATCAGGCCCTTAATGAATCACGTTGCCGGGAAAAACGTGGTCCTGCATCGTTGGTAACTTTCATTTACATTTTTATCAGTCCCCCAGTTTTATTTTGTGTTTTTTTTAAAAAAGCAGCTACATGGTTCAGATGTAAATTTTCCAGACTGGTCAACATAACTGCGTAATAAAAAATTAAATTTGCACTTTTAAAGATTAATAATAGTATTAATAAATTTTGAGGGTGTGATTTAATTTTCCCCCTAAAATTCTGTGGCATTTTTCTGCTGGCACCTGTTTATCATTATTTCCAACAGCACTCGTGCTAATCTTTCATTCAGGATTATACATTTTGGATATATTTTTTAAGCCACTGATTATATATTTTGTGTAACTCGCAGCAATGTTCTGTTAAATATTGTGGAACATTTTCTTATAGTCTGGTTCCACAAGTCAAAAAGAAATAGTTATATACAGGGGTGCCAGGAAAAGATGAAATAATTACACAGAACAGCTTGGACATGCACGTGTAAAACGCAACCAGCCTTTATGATAATGAAGCAAGGCACTCTACCTGTTTCATGGATGGATAGAAGATTTAAATATGCAGCTCTGCAAATGGCTTTGTTATGGAAGATTTTTTAAATGAAACATGAGGAAAGGGTATTAAAAAAAGAGCCTAAAATTAAAAAGGCCATAGTATATAATCGCTATTTGTGATGCAATTGTCTATTAGGCACAGGCACCCAGTGACGATACAGCACTGTGCCTTATGACTTTAATTGTGAATTTCCTTTGTTAGAAGTGCAATGGGAGGTAATTGGGAAACAATTAGCTTAGGGTTTTCAAGTCTTTGAAACTATTTAGCTTTCCAGAAAACTTACTTTATGGCATTGTAATTCCTTGTTGTCGGCTGGCAGTGGCTGTCATATTACAGATGCAATCACCTGTGACAGTGTGGCTTCCTTAGCTGAAGCAATCTGATCTCAGGGTAATAACTGAAGTTGAATGACTGCAGTGTTGATCATCTTGATCATCAAAGGAGCAGCAGTGTCTAGTTTGGATGCTGAGCCTGGGAAGCTTCAAGACAATTTGACCAATGAAAAATGACAGTCATGTTCAAAATGTTTTGTAGGTGAAAACAGCTACTATTGCCACTGAGAGGAATGGGAAGCCAGAGAACAATACCATGAACATTAATGCTTCCATTTATGATGAGATTCAGCAGGAAATGAAGCGCGCTAAAGTGTCCCAAGCACTGTTTGCGAAGGTCGCAGCAACCAAGAGCCAGGTAGGAGCCTCGATTAGGCACGGAGAATGTTTATCTATTTTCAGGATGTCTATTTTCAGGATGAATTCGCATCACTGAGAGGTCACAGTCTCCGGGATTATGTACAGAACTCTCTGGTGAGACAAAATGTTCAGATTCTGATACTAGACACTTGGGTCTTATTTCCTCCAATAGCCATTCCCCAGACCTAGGACTTCTTAGTAAATCCCTGAGTCAGTTTATAATTGTTTTCAGAAGAGTAAGACTGTAACGTATAGGAAGTTTTTCAGTCCGGTCCATTGTAGTGGAACAAATAACTTGAATTACTGTTGTTTCATTATTACTTAGATGACCTTGATTTCTATCCTAAAATACTAGAAACATTATAGTTTCTTCTGTTCCAACTCTGGCACCTACAAATCTTAAGTGCACTTATTAGAACAAATTGACACACACATACGTATGTCTTTGCATATGAATGATTTTAATTTTTCTATAGATAATAACACACAAATTGAATTACAATGAGAAAAATTGTCCATATCTGGTCAATTATAAAGAGAATTGAATTGGAGAAGTTACAAATTTCTACAAAACAAGACAAAAACATAACAAAATAATGCAGTTCTTCATCAGCGTAATTGTCGTATATTGATAATTTACGTTCATCAAAAGCTGAGTCATCTATATGCAGGAACTCACAATTATCTATAAACCCTTGTTCAAAGCAAGACTACTTATAAGACCCAAAGAATACTACACTGTCCCTTTGCAAAAAGCTTTGATAACACTACCAAGGGGAGAATTTAGAGGCAGTCAAGGGCTCAGGTAAGATTTCAACAACTTGAAATTTTAACCAAGTATATTTTTATTATCATTAATGAACCCTCCTTTATAATAAACTTTTGTTAACTTCTGATAAGCATATACAACCCTGAGAGTGTTTACAGTATACTACTTTGAGCTTTTCCTACAATTTCACTCTATCAGCATTAATAGTGGACCTAGATGGGAGTTTTGCTTTAGAAAAGGTTGTTCTTGTTTAAGTTATAGGCTGGATGAAATACTTAAGGGATATCTTGGAAATGTTATAGAAAAATGATTAAACTCAAGCTGTGGACTGTAAAAATTATAGCTTTATAGGCCACATGCCTGCCTACCCTTCAATCACTGTCAAAGTGATAATTTCTACAATAATATGTTTCTTTTATTGTGAGATTCTAAACATCAAGTGCTGTTTAAACATTAAACTGAATTGTTTATGTTAGTGCTGTACTCAGCGTGTCATACATCAGGCCACCGTAATCTCTCATGGAATGTAAAAATCTGTCATGAATCATGGCTTGTATATCGGAAATTACTGTAATTTTGATTGGAAATTACAGGGCTCTTGAAATGTTTCTAATTATGATAGAATGTTAGAGCCGCTTCAAACCTGTGTGCTTCTTCAGATGTCTTCATTTACATGCCAAGACTATGCATTAAGGGGAAATGTCCTGTTCTCACTTTACCCCTCACCCACCTCCCCTGCTTATTCTTGTTTGGTCTACTTAGTCTAATTATGGTGAGGATCTCATATTTAAATGTATATAATCTTGCTTTTCTTTCTCATACTACATCTTTTCTGACCTAGCCAATTAAATTAATTATCAAGGATAACAGACTATATTCCTACAAGGCCAAATACTTTCCCCAAATCTCCAAAATAGACAAACAGACAAACTAGACATGTATTACTGTCAGGCTTAAAACAAACAAAAATACATTTTAAACTTTTTTTTTAATTGTTGATAGTATTACAGATATCTCCCACTCCCCTCACCCCCTTTTTCTCCCCTCCCTCAGGCCTTCACTACCCTATTGCCCATGACCATGGGCTATTCTTTGGTTTAAAACTTTTTGATAACTGTCACTTACTTGCTTAACATATGTCATTTAATTTCATCTGGTCCCCCCTTTCCCATTTTCCTTTCTAACTAGAGCAGGAATTTTGAACCTTTTTCATTTCATGGCACACATAAACTAATTACTAAAATTCTGTGGCACACCAAAAAACATATTTGTTGATCTGATAAAAAATATAGGTATACTTTTGATTTGATTTATAGAAAAAAATAATAGTGATTATTTTTTGCTCAAAAGTGCCATTCTTATATATAAGGATTTTTGGTACCATGAATTTACCAATCAGAAGCAACCTTATTAAGATAGAACTCTATTATATGACCTACATATTTAGGGTTCAAGACAGGGCATTCTCACTGGACAGCTATTGCAGTTTTGACTATTCTCATTGTGGGTTGTTGTTGTTGTTTTTGTTTTGTTTTGTTTTTGACAATCTAAGTGAAAAGAGGTTAGTACCCCTGACTAAATAGTCAGGTATTGCATGTTTTAAAAATGCTTGCGGCACACCGGCTGAAAACCGTTGGACTATAGCATAGCCCCTTATGGTTAGCAGCCCCTTGCTACCTTCATTCTTTTCTTTTCAATGATAAGTTCCATCCTCCCTGCCAGGGCTAAGTCACTGATTTTGGACCTCTTCAGACAGTGGCAGCAATTGGTTGACAATGGCCCGTGAGTGATGCTCTGGGGAGGTTTTAAACGTTTTTGCTCTTTGCACCCTCGTCCTGCAAAGCTCCCATGAGTCTCTTTCAGCAATGTCGCTTGGCAGCTTCTCTGAGTCTGCCAAGATGGTGTTTCCCGAACCCCGCCCGCCCTACGCTGTTAGCTAATCTCTCATTCCTGGTTGAAAGAGAATCCAGGGGCCCGTTGGTGGCTGTGGAGTCACCACATGAGTTAACCTGTTCACTTCATTCTCTCGGATGATTATTCCTAACTCCTAATTTACTGTAACTTCCTGACAGAGCATTTCTGTAGTTTTCTCTCAGTTGTATAGTTTGGTTGTCAGCACTAGCCTGTTGGTGAAAACAGGTAGATAGACTGATGGTTTCTTAAAAGGAAGACAGTCCCAAAACAGTGTGTAACCTGAGAGAGGAGATCTGACTTCACAAGGAAGGTCATCGTCTACTTAACTTCTGTTCTCCTGCCATGATTTTTGTGACGGGAACAGAAAAACTAGCAAACAAATTTTTAAAAAAATATCTTCAAATCAGACTGACCTTTTTCATGGTCAGAATTCAATTTCTATTTACACCTTGGAGATAATGTGGCAAGGATTGTCAGAATGAGGCGGAGGCCTGAACATGGGGGAGGGTGGGGTGCATGGACAAAGCAGGGACACCAGTCCCGTCCAGCTCCACCTGCTGCTGCGTCTTGCCCCAATTCTCCAGGTTGACTTAGCACCCGTCACCTTTTTTCTGCTAAACCCCATCGTGTATTCTCTATTCTCTACATTTAATTCTCAGAGTAACCCCGTGAGCTAGCGTAGTTTTCCCCAATGACTCTTTCCCTAAGACTCACCTCACTAATAAACAGGAGAGCCAACCCCCCCGTTCTCTGCATCTGTCCTACTATTTTAGTGTCTCCTCGGGGTTCCAGGCGGCATCAGTACCGAAGTTAAACCCAGCTCCAGGACAGATGAATTCGGGATATTGGACTAATGGATAGTGGAAATGGTGGGGGCTTTCCTTTCTTCGCTGACAGATTCTTACCAACATAGGGCCGGAGTGCATGCTTTTCCATGCCCGAGGGGGAAGCAGGGGGGACGGGTGAGAGAACTCAGAGGAGGCTGTGGTCCAGGCTGTGTGGTTGCTATTATAATAGTGAGAAATTAGTTAACCTTTTTGAGCCCAAGATTCTTTTAATATGGGGAGGAGGTTACCTGGTGTGATGTATGCAGAAGAGCTTTAAGATGATACAGTGCTATACCCAAATGGAAAATGCCTTCCAATGTGCTAAGCAAGAGGCTCAGCTCAGCCCCCCACACAGAGACATTTTTATTCTCTCTTCACGTATTTCAAACAGCTTTTGAGTAAAAAGATAAAGCCTTGGGTAGATACCCTGAATGACAGGCAGCACAATTATTTTGAAGTTACTGCAGTCTCAGAATGTTATGGACCCAGACACATCATAGTTGTGCTAGGCACTGACTAATGCACAAAGTATTTCCAGTCAAAGAAACCGACTCGGTGGATTCCACCATTCTCGTGTATTATCGCTCCTCTTCCATGAGTAACAGAAATTAGATTGTTTTTAACTCTAATAGAAATGTCTGAATAAAATATGCGGGTGCAACCTGGAAGGTAGGCGATTTTTGTGCTTGGATAGGAAAGCTGGCTAATGCCAACTTTAAAAAGATGATATGCTTTAAACATAATGTGAATAGCTACAAATGAATACACTTTATATTCTGGGTATTCAAATAAGCAGCAGTTTTTTCAAGTGAATCATATTGGAATTTTATCAAACATTTAGTCTGATAACATTCAAATAATTATGAGAGCAGAATTCGCTAATTTTACTGTTTAAAAAAAATAGTTGATTTGGGTAATAACCATTACGGTATCAAGGTTCAGTTACTGTTCATTGGTTATAGTGTTTTCATATGGGAGATGGAAATGGAATTTTTTCCTTAATGGTGGCAGATGTTGGAATCTAATTTTATTCCACGGCAAAGCCCCCGAGAGCTCTGAGACTTAAGGTGTATGTCCAGCAAGGGGACATTAGCAGCGCTGTAGGCCTTGCCTTGTACATCGACTTGTTACATTGATTTTCATGTTTGCAGAGGTGGAGTTGGCAGATAGAGTAACGTCGTAGGAGTGAAGGGCTTTCACTGAGCGGCACTGCATCGCCACTTGTGTTTAGAAAATGATTTCTCTCCTTTATTGAGCAGAGTATTTCTTTCAGGTAAAGCAACTAGATCAGCGGTTCTCAACCTGTGGGTCGCGACCTCTTTGGCGGTCGAAGGACCCTTTCCCAGGGGTCGCCTAAGACCATCCTGCATATCAGATATTTACATTACGATTCATAGCAGTAGCAACATTACAGTTATGAAGTAGCAACGAAAATAATTTTATGGTTGGGTCACAACATGAGGAACTGTATTTAAAGGGCCAGAAGGT